TGACCCATTTAACCGATTTTTCGCAGTTCATGATGATTATCACTTGCTGAGAGGCGATTTTGAACTTATGATGTCATGCTTTAGGCTGAATTCAAGAAGTTACATGGACATATGTAGTAATAAGCAAGTGAGCCGAGTGGGTCGTTAATGACCCAAATTCTTTATTTTTAAAAAGTTAGAGTTACACAGTATTGACCATATGTTTTTAACTTATGCTTTTTATTTTATTTTATCCTAACGTCTTTGTTTCAGAAGTTAAAGCCGAAAAACCGTGATGGGTCGTTTGCGACCCGGACGAGTGGGTCGTATGCGACCGCAGTTAGTAAACAGCGTCTAGCTCTGTTTGTGAACATCTGATTATCACGGGCTTTTCATATGTCTCAAGGAAATCGTTGCCCGCAACTATTTTGTCCTCAACAAAATAAGCCTACATAAGTTTTAATGTCCCAATCAAGGCAAGAAGTAAAGTGAAATATTTTCCAATTATGACGACTAATTAGCCTAATTATTTAGTTGTTAGTAATTAATTGGGTCTCGACTGGAAAGTCAATAATGTAGCCCAATAAATTTTGAGCATATGTGCGAAAGATTCGTTGCGTTTAGTATTATGGTTTGTCCTCTATAGCCTCTAGAAAAGGTGGGTCGTAAACGACCCTATCGTCCCTAATGGGTTAATATATACCTATCTCCTTGGGGGCCTACATCAAAAATTGTTGCCCAAAATAAGCTTGAAATGCAATTCTTAATCGATTCCAAAAAGTTCTTGAAAAAATATTGAAAACTGATTAGATGGAGTTATTTCAATTTTAATGAAGTCATTTTGGCTAGTATTCCGAACCGAGATATTATGTGCAATTTTCCCAATTTTGTTCATGGAGGTCTTTTTACTTAGTATCCGCTATATTCAACAAAAACTGAGTTATATCTTTCACAATTCACATAGAGTTAGTCTCATTAAAAAATATTGAAATTTTATCGAATTTGGGCAAAAGCGAATTTGGGCTAAAGCGTATGCCCAAATATGGGCATATTTTTTTAAGCTCATAGCTCAGCCAATTTTTGACCAATCTGGATGGAAATTCATGTACTAGTCCTAAAACAGGCTTATCTTGCGAATCTGAGTGAAAACTGAAAAATATAGTTCATCATGTAAATCTTAACGAAGAATATAAATCTTCTAATTGTAGGTATATTAAAGTATATTAAAATGTAGGATTTTTCCGATTTTGACCCGGGGATATACTTTAATATACTTTAATATGGTTGCCCCCCCCCCCCCCCCCCCCCCCCAATTTTACAATTTTCTGAAGCGTACGAACAAAAAAATTAAAGAAATAGAAGCTTAAATATGCGGATATTTCTTATACCTTACTGAGTAAGGTATAAGATATATCCGCATATTTAAGCTTACTCGGGAATATTATGACTGGGATAAAGTGGTTAGGTAGGTTTTGGAAAATTCCGCCATATTTTTCCCGGTCATTAATTTTCCCAGTCATAAATTAACCCGCTATAATGGTCCCGAGTAAGGTAAACTAATAGTAATACATTTTGAATTTTGATGCTTGGTGGGTTTTGGAAAATTCCGCCATATTTTTCCCGGTCATTAATTTTCCCAGTCATAAATTAACCCGCTATAATATTCCCGAGTAAGGTAAGTAACAATTTGATAAGTTAAACAGTATATGAACTTGGTATAATTGTAAATGTTATTTAGATTTAAATCTTTAGGTAGAATGTATAATTATCGTGTAGATACTAGATCAACGTACAATAAATTACTGACAGGCTCAAACAAATTAATAAGGTGGTCAATAGTTTATTAATCTAGTGAAACAGCAAACTCTCAGCCAGTTAATCTGAACCAAACATTAGAGCAGGAGCAAATAAATTTCGGTATTTTATGCATGGCTTTTAAAAACGATTGCATTTTGCAATATTTCGATTCATTTGAAGCTTTACTGGACTAGAGTTGGAATTGTAAACTAATTGTTAATTAATTCAAACAACTAAGAAGTCAGAAGAAAAACTCACAGCTGCAGTTTAAAGACATCTCTACAAATATCCTAGTGTCTCGTCACTCTTGGTTAGTATATAGTCATCAATGCCAGTGGTCACACTTAATGAAATGACATTGGCTTTTATATGTAAACGTGTGGTCTACATACTGTGGTCTACATACTGTGACATGTCGATAAATTCGACCATCTTTCTTGGAAAAGTTTAGAGGTTGTTTGAACTTGGTCGCAATAAATGCTCAAATGAAATTACTTTTTAAGATTGCACCATGCAGAGTTTCAACTCATTTCACATATTGTAGTACAAATGAAAAATGAACTTGATTCACAGGCAACAAGGGTGATCCTAATTATGTCTCAACAACCGTTAAACTTGAAAGTTCGACAGCTGATAGCCACACTCACCTGCCATTTGCTTGTATTTGGGTTGAAAACGAAAGGATAGGCATGCAGCTTGGACTTATTTGAGCGACAAAGAAGTTGATCTCATTCCAATAAACTCTGATGCATGTGGTTAGAATAGGGTTATGTTCAATTTTGCTCACATTTATTTTCGACGCTATAAACTATAAAATTATCTCTACGACGTTGCCTTAAGGCCCAAACTGGTCGTGTCTGTCCAATAAACTATGCAATTGAAAAGAAATTTTGGAACTCTACGGACGAGGAACAACTAAGAAGTTAATAATTATACATGTTTGTCAATGATTGTCATCCAATCATTCATCCAACCATGCGGTATAGCCTCTTCGCGCGCTTAGCTTAAATTAATAAACTGTGTCCCGATTATATTTATTCGCGCGCTTTTTTAAAACCAGATGTACGTTGATGCGATTGCCTCATAAGAATGACACCGCCGCGTACATACTTTACTCACTTACCACGGTGGCTAATACGTGACAGTCATTCAGCATAATGATAATATGATAATATAATACACTAATCACCTCAATAGAACGGGGAGGAGCACAGCATAATATACTTCTATTCAACTTACTTGGTATCAGTTGTGATGGAAGAGGACTGGAAGACGGTAATAATCGTTACTTTCATCACATTAATATCATTCTGAATCAGTAGTTTGTAAGACACAGAAAAGTAAATACAGTAGTCAGAATTCAAAACATATTCAGGTAAATAACAATTTGCTAAAGTGAATCAAACAGTGCAAAAAATTGTTTATGTCTTGAAGTAAACACAGCGGCAAAATAAATTTATGGGCTACGTTGCTGTTCCCAAAAAAAATGCACGTTCGACCCACTGGCCACTCATGATCGAGCAAAGTTCAGAGGTCAAAGGAGATGAGAAAAAGTTGAAACAAACTATTAAATACAAGACGGCATAATCAGCTGCCCTAGCTGCTGTAACTAATTGCAATATTTTCTGAGCGCTGTGAAAAATGAGGAACTCATTATATCTTAATTCCTTCCGAAAGTGGCCGTGACAAGGTTGAACAGCCAAATATCTCGGCCCTAACAAAAAGCGGCCTTCGAGTTAGTGACAGTGCACTGCATCATCTATTAAATAGTTTCTAGCACATATATTTTAGTAAATTATTGTATCCGAAACCTTCAAACTGGTTATCCAATGGTCTAATTCCTAATTGCTTGGAATTCAGGATACCAAAGCAGGGGACTAAACGCCTGCTGATTAAACGCCTGTTAATGGCGTTTTAATAGTTTTGAATGATGATGATTGCCTGTGCCACGCTACCGGCTACACTAAATAAAGATGGCAATCTTGTTTATAATGACATAATTTTGACGTTGATGTAGCAAGTCATGCAATTACCGACGTCATATCTGTCGACAAACTAATGTGGGAGTTTAACTGAAGTTAAGCTACAACAAGGTAATAAAAGCTTTTTCCCCGATTTTCCCAATCAATTAAGAAGATAATCTGACAAGATGTAGGCATTTCTTAATTTCTGCGGTATCCATCAACATGCCATATATTTATCCCACAGATACTTTCTCGCTGCATTCCGTCACTCGGAGAATGGTTCCCAGAAAATGAAGCGAGACACACATCAATAGAGCAATAAAATGATGACTGCAAATCAAAGCCAAAATTTAGAATAAAAGCAATTAACATGAGGTTAATAAGACAGAACATTGTCATAGGTCTACTGTGTTCATTACAATATAGTTTAAAGATAATGCAGAATGTTAAACACGCTCACAAGCCTTGACAAATGAAAAGAATGCAGCAATTCTAATGAGTCAGTCAGCACACTGGACACTGGACATTCCCTCTAGAGTACTAGAGTAGGGTCACCGAATAGTTAGGTTAACATTCGGATCCGGAGTTCGGCATTCAGTATTCAGTATTCAGAGTTCAGTATTCGGTTCAACCGAATATTCGATGATTCGGTCGACCAAATATAATGGGTCACCGAATACCGAACAGATCGAATATTACGGTCAAGCGAATATTATAATATTCGGTACCGAATACGGAATATAACATGATTGGGTAACTCTACTCTAGAGCAAGATGTTTCAGATCCTAACGCGGTCAGCTCAGCAGATATGTTTTGACTTATTTTTTCTTAAACTTTTATAAACTTATAATGAAAACTTCCACGATTCCGTTTCATGTTCAGCCTATACGATAAGAACCTATTTTAGAACGACTCCTTGAACTATTAAAGTGGATTGGCATGTTTCAACACTTAGCGTTAAGCGATTAGGTAGAAATTCAACGTTTTCAGTTGCATAAAATTCTATATTACATTAATAATTTAGTTGATATTATATTACATTAGATTTTGGTAGATTGCCAAATGTATTAGAATTACAATATTATTATAAAAATATATATATGTAAAATTGTATACAAAGCAAAGAAAAATTAATAAATAGCTCCTAATGTATGTTAATTTAGCACTTTGCAACGTTGGAAACACTCACATTAATTGTAAGTTGTGAATGTTAACAGTGTAACTTTAAATAAGCTCTTAAAACAATGAAACGCAATTTCTAATGTAAAAAGTTAAAAACAACAAATATATACAACTGACTGAATAACATTATAGATCAGTTAATCAACACTACTATAAATAAGTTTATGTAAACTTTTAAATTGTGGCAAAATAGTCTTTACACTGGTTACTCCACGGTGTCAAGAAACACGTCCTTGTAGTTTCTAGCATTCAGCTTTCCAAATACTATTCCCGGTGTTAAATCCTGGAAAGCTCTGAATTCCAGTAGTCAAATATTCCGATGTAATCGTTTAAGTTACTGTTTAAGTTACTGTGCTCTGGATTTGCGTTTTCTTAAACAAATTAATAGCTGCAGAGTCTGGTATACTTCTGAGCTTCCAAACTATCTGAGCAATTCGGCTTTTAAACTTGCTTTCGTTTGGTTTAACTCACTATAACTAGAAATTACTTAAGTAATCATCTGAAACCGAAGGGGAAGGGAAGTTAGCCTCTAAAGTTCGGGTATTGTTAACAATTTCCATTCGTATGAAGACCATTTCCGTGGCCGTTAGATGAGCCGTTAGTGTGACCGTTGGTTGCTTGGTGACCGTTGGTTGCTTGCTTCTTGAGCTCCAACACGGGGTATGTGTTCTCTATTACCAGGTCTTTATTCGTCTTTGTATTTTCTTTCTTTTCTTTGAATTCTTTCAAGACGTCCAGTTCATCAGTCAAGTAACCTGAAAATGGTGTTGTTAGATTGAGTAAACAGGGTTCTGAAAATACTAATTAAATATTGTAGCATTTGTATTCGAAAATTAATTTTAAACCTGTGTACTACGGGTTTAAAGTAGGTAACCATCGCGTGGGTAAATGATTAATTAAGATATTAAATAAGGTTGATTAATTAATTATAAGATTGATTAATTTAAGATATTGCTCGCCAGTTTCTTGCAACTCACCCTCTTGATAAAGGTAGTTTGTGAGATAGGAAACTCCGATGGCGAGGAAGAGGTGGACTAACATGCACACCATTCTGAAGGGGAACTTCTGGTGTCCGACCCCATTGTCTACTCCCTCTACTCCCTCCTATAGTAGAACATTGTTACCATGTGGTTACCACTTTTACCATGGTTAATAATTAATTGCGATTACGATTAATTAATTCATTAAGTGTATACCTTATCAAGATAATTGATGATATTTGTGAATGATTTTGTAGTAAACCAGTGTTAAAAGTAGTCTCAGCAAAGTAATTGTCAAAACAACAATAATATCACCAAACAATAACAGAGCTCGAAACTCACGGAATAGTTAGGGAACTTGAGGACAGCATCGTATCCGAGTACAGGTTCCCCGGAGAGAGCCCTGAGAAGGAGGGCAGTGGAGAAACCTACCACCATACCGTATCTGTTAACCAGGTGGGGGAAGTGGACTACCAGGACTAGATGTGGGAAGAGGAGGACGAATACTAGGTCACTGTGGAGGGAGACACAAGGTTAGTTTCAGGTTATTATAGTTTGTGAAGTACGTGATATCAAGATGTTTAATTATGATGATATATTTTGGATAATTTGTTGTACTATTTCAGTTGTGTTACCTGCAGATAAGGTAAAGTCCGTACACAGATTTGACAGTGATAGCGATGATCATGGCAATGGTCGTGTTGAAGATAATCGTTATTCTTAATGCCCACATCATTTGCCTGGAAGACAAAAACATTAATAATCCATAAGTCAGTGTTAGCCTTAACGAGATGTCAAATAATACGGCATTTTATCAACAACTGTATTATAAATTCAGCTAGATACACGTGACATTAGCAGTACCTACTTAACATTAACAGTACGTACTTGTCACTAGCTGCAGGATGGAAGACTCTCTGGAACACGTTCCTGGTGAACATGCAGCTGACTCCCAGAATGGAACTGTCAGTTGAACTCATCACAGCAGCACTCACTGCTCCAAGACCTGGGGGGGACAATTTGTCAACTCACTCTTATACTGATTATATTGTATATCAACTTTAGTTGACAGCGTACAGACTAATAGGCTATTCCTTGTCCCAATTCATCGCATAAGGTCTGAATAAATCAGGTGACTCAGATTAAACCAATTATGCAACTTTACGCCTGCTACTGATCCATCGTACTGACCAGTATTTTGATGCTGGAGTTAAAATCTGACCGTTGTTTCTTTTCAGATAATCACTATTGTGCCACAACCTAATTCCAAGTGTCAACAATGCAACTTTCTGTGCCTGGAAGTTCCAGCCTATAACATCACATGAATAACTGCACACTTGCTTTTCTAACAATATTCTCAGTTTTGGGGTGTTCTTTAGAATTGTGCTGCAAAACTAATAATGATTATATCATGACTAAGTGACACCAAATGTTGCCAGCACATCCTCTAATTGACAGGGAATCCTTGGGTTGCTACGAGAACTGTGTGGCTTCTATCCAGAATAGCATGCCAGGCCCCTTTCAGGATTTCCCATGTCTTGATTACCAGACTTAATAGTTTCAAAAATGGGAAACTTTTTAAAAACTTTTTAAAAACTGCGTGCATTAGTGAAATCGCTCGTATAATTCGGACAATTTAATTAATTTCCAGATCTATATAATATTATCTAGTCCTGCTTTCATTAATTTAACTGGTGAGTCGGTGGCGTAGAAATAATGGGGGTGCATTTTCTTTTACCAACTGCCACATTCACCAATATTGAACCATACTTCGAATTCTGCACCACAACAGCCGTATTAAAAGTTGCAGCTTCGCAGAGACTAAGGACAATTCAAGACCTTTTCTCAAATCTCAACATCATCAGCCCAATATCATTAGCCCTTTAATATCATTAACTTTAAGTCATTAGAGGAGAAATCAAAAACTCTGGAACATTTAGAGATTTCCCCTGTTGTAACTTAATTTCTAAAACCATTAACGATTGCACCTCAATTGACCAAATTTGGGGACCACAAACAAACCAAGTTCAAATTAAATTTAAAGGAAAAATCAAATATTTACCAATGAAGGTAACGACTGGGGGGCAGAGGTAGTTGAGACAGAGAGGAACTGCCAACTTGTACTGTCCCGGTTCTAGAACTCCGAACTTGGTAGCGGCCCAGTCGGTGTTAAGCGTTACTACTCCTGAAAACGAAATGTTATTACTCCTGAAAACGAAATGTTATTACTCCTGAAAACGAAATGTTCTTACTCCTGAAAACGAAAAGTTTAAATCATAGATTATAACGTTATTATGATGGTTATTGTTTTCATTAGAGACCTGTTAGTGTTAAAATGATAATCAATTTTATAACTTTGTTGGATGAGGTTGGCTCTAAGATCACTGAAAATAACATCCTCTTCTCATTTTAAACGCACAATACTGTCGCTCGGTATTAAGGGATCAGCTATTTGTTTTGGTGCCAACACTTTTGGACTGCAGCCAAAGGAATATAGAAGAATTGTTATCTCCCAATTATACCAAATATTTCCCATAAAGATCCATTGTTCTGAAGTGAGAACTGGAATATGAATCTACCCATTATCCGGTATAATCTTATAATTCTTTCTGGGAATTATATCCCCGAGAAGTCGTGAACACTGGTTACCGATAATTTCCTGCAAGGGTTGCCAGAGTATTATGAGAACAGACTGCAATTCACCTCAGACTGGCTGGCGGGAAGTTTCAAAACAAATAACTGTTGCGCACTATATATTAAACACCATATAATAATTGTATCAGCGCACGCATCACAAAAATTATAACAAATAATGCCTTGGCTTCGGTACCCCGCAATTATCGCGGGTAGCACTCAACAGCCAAGGTATTATTGTATTATATAGCACCTCCCATTTTTAGCACCTCTTTCATTAGAAGTAAATGGTAATCATGTAAAGTAATTACTAATTATGCACGCGACTAAAAGTCTCTGTATGGAAAACGGAACTGAAACGGAAGTATTATCAGACCGACAGTAATTACAAAAGACTTCGGGAGAAGCATGAAGTCGACTGGAAGCTGGACAAACTGGTTTGTTAAATATATGAGCCACGCACTCCTTATGAATTAAGATTACAATGGAGGGTCTCTAGTCTGTACTAATGACAAGACATCATTGCGGCAACTTCTGAACCCACTGAAATTAAAATGAGCACAAGTTGGATAACTGCTGTGCACCTTATCGCCGGACACTGTGGGCTAAACAAACACCTTCATACCGTCTGCAAATCCAGCACAACAAAAATTAGATAATGGGGAACCTGGGTGGTCAGCAATGAGGAGCACTAAGTAACTTAAGTAACCTAAGTAACCTAAGTAACCTAAATAACCTAAGTAACCTAAATTTGAGTAACCTTTAAGTAACCTCAGTGACCTAAGTAACCTAAATAAGTAACCTACCGATAAGTACGGCGGGGATGGCCGCACAAAAGCAGCCGAAGCCAGCGAAGATGGAGAGAACTTTAGCGATTTTGGCGCTTCTAGAGGAGAGGACTCGCTGGAAGTAGGCCTGCCACGGGATACCTCCACACATCATCATAACTGCGTGATCAACCTGCAAAAACACGTACTTTGGTAAGCAAAAACTCGTACTTTAGTAAGAAACTGAAACAGAATAGCTGTAACCTAGGTTATGGAGTAGTGGAAGTGAATAGGCAGGACTAATTCAACATAAACTATTGAACATTTATAGATCGAAAATTATAGTGGTACAAATATGATGGCAGTTATTTCCAGGACTAGTATCAAGGTTGGTATTATTTCAAAGTAACTAACCCAGTATGCAGCATCTTCAGGTTTTATAGTTCCAATGACACTTTTCGACACTCCGTTAAAATCAGGAATTTCACCCTGAGAAGAGGATAAAAATTAACATCATAAAATGGAAGAGTCTGACATCATTTCATAAGATTATCTGATCCCTGTTCAATAACAGTGTTTGGAAGTCATATTTCGACAACTGAAACAAATTTCTAAAGCAAAGAAGAAATCTTATTTTCAAGATTACAATTACAATACATAAGAGTATTATTAGGGGTAAAATTGTTGAAGATTTTTAACGACGTTCAGAGCATCGAAGCTGCTGAAATAATGTAAATTATAGCAAGTGAATATACTGTAATGAATTATAATAATATTGTACTAAACAATAACAACCACCAACACGTGAAACCCTGCCAGCTGTCTCCTGAGAATTCAGGTGCAAGGTAGCGGTGTTAGTTTGGAGGGAGCTGGCTTATACCTGGAGGGGGGATGTGACATTTTCATTTGTTGTCATAAAGGGTAGCGCTAGAATGAGACCAACGAAAATACAGATCAGCTGAAAGACATCCGTGAACGCAACTGAATACAGTCCTGAGAAATAGTTGTTCGGGTTAGCTATCAGTAATTCTTTTTAAACCAACCTTATCACCCACAAATGTAGATGGAAAGCCTGCAATAGTGAACCGTGAGGTAAATAATAATTTGATATTGTACTGCGACGAGGATATTTTGTTCCTGCGATGTTGTTAGGATATTTGTAAATTAACAAAGTAAATAACATTAACAATAGTTGCTGGTGCATTGGTTCAACAATTCAGAATATTAATTACAGATATTTAAGAGTAATATTCCACGAACCTCCAAAAAGAGTATATATCATGGCGAATCCAGCAGATGCCATGATGGAGGTGGCCTCTGGGATCCCGCATATAACTTGGAGAGATGTTCCTAGAGCTGCGAGAATGGCCGCCGACCAGAGAATCTGGAAAAAAGTTAAAAATTAGTCAGCTGATCTCAGAAGTAAAAAGGATTGTTGTTAATACCTCATTATCTCATCAACAATGGAACCAGATTTCATTCTGTATTAATTCTATGACCTCATCCTCTCATGGTAATTCTATCAGTGCGAACTAAATCAGGCATTCATTCTTTCGAAAAATTAAAACGTTGAAAAATTTTACAATTCCTGGCTTATCAGATATGACGAGCGTAAGAAAGGTAAGTTACTGTTAAAAAGGCAGCTAATTTGAATCAAATTAGATTGTATGATCAGTGCCAATTGATTCTTTTAAAACATTTAAACGTTCATTAACATGATTATATTTAAGTTTAATAAGTTTATTAAGTTACGTTGTCAAAGACCGGAAAAATTTGATAAGTCCTGGCTTATCAGCTGTGACGAGCGTCAGAAAGACGAAGGTAAGTTACTGTTCTCAGGGCAGCAAAGAAATATTGATCGACAGTGTCAAGGTACAGTGATTAAAAGTTCATAATTTCATCAAATTAAGTGTGTGAATCAAAGCTGTTAATTGTAACCACCTCGTACGAATTATATTTTGCAGCATGCGCATATTTTCTTACGTTGAACTTCCTGTTCCAACTTGAGCGTCGTAATGTAACAGAAGTAAAAGATAAACCCGAGATAGGAGCAGCGTAAACTGACCTTGCGAGAAGGCACTGTAACCACGACAACACTGTAACCACGACAACACTGTAACCATAACATCACTCACCTCGCCGGAGAATGCTGGAATGTAGAAGAGGGCTCCGAGCTCCTTGCCGTACTTGTTCTGCAGAGGATCCAACATGGTGACGTACTTCATGTTCCTCATCTTGGTAGCGAAGAATAAGCCTCCACAGATAAGAGCTATTGCGTAGCAGAAGGGAGCCTGGCACCACAGCTGAATTATATGAGCGGTTTTAGTGAAACAGAAATATTTCCTCTGGGATTTAACAGGGCTGGAAGGTTAGACAATCAGATCGCGTAGACAGTAGCGTCTATTTCAATTCAGTAAAATTCTGCCGGCCTACATATCGGCATCCTACTATATACTAATTTCAACATTATTACAATATCATGTACATTGTACTCCTACTATACTAATTTCAATATCAATATTACATTGTACCTCATCTGGAAGATATTATCAAGTACATTTAAAGACTTACAATTCCATGTCTAATAGTAGCTTCTGCAGCCCCGTTGATGTAACCTCCTCCGACCCAAGTTGCTGTCATGGTAAAGATTCCAACAAAGTAGTTAATATCTCGCCCAGCCAACATTAGATCGTCTGAATCTGACATGCCCTCTTCCGCCACTTCAGTCCCTGTTTTATTCTTCTTTCCATTCAAAAGCTGCATAAACCTGAGAGCGAGATTTTATTACGACAACTTAAAACTTTGTCTAATGTTTACTAACACTGTTCATTGTTCAAAGTCAATAGCCAGAAACATGAAAATAAAATTCAGAAATTACGTGTCGCAAAAACAGAAACATCACAATAATGCGACTAATAAACAACGTTCCAATCCGGATATTACATACTTTTTGGAGAATAGTCCAGCGAAGAGGATGAGGAAGTAGAAGGTTATCAGTCCAGCCAATCCGGGAATGTTCATCTCAGTCATTTTGTTGTAGAGCTTAGAAGATAATATCTATTTACAATTTGAAGTAAAATAAAAAGTCCCTCAGTAAAATATAATTTAATGTTTACAATAATTGTTTATTACCGTTCATAATGGTAGTTTTAAGAAAAATTTGGGGCACGTGATCGAAATAATTGCAGATTATCGTAAATGATTGTTCTTAAAAGCGAAGTCTTGTAATTTTCTTAAGAAGTAACTTGCAACTTTCCAAAAGTTTTCCTAGAAAATATTAGTAAAATTCATTTTACCGCCAGCTAGAATAAAAACGATTTTCGGTTTTACATTATTTCCTGATAAGTTAATGGTCTAGGCTATATTATGTAGATACTGATAGTGATTAACCAGCATGAACCAATCTCAAAAAGCTGTCACGTGTTAAAAAATATTATATAATATGGTTCATAACACATCCGTCATTTATTTCTGCTTCAAATTAAGGGCCATGGTCGTCTTCAGGGAATATTTGCAGTAGGTGGTCGGATGCTCACACATAATTAAGATTCAGGATAAACAGCATGCCTATGATTATTCCTGTTTTCCGAAAGTATATACCAGGTAAATCAGTAAATGCCATACATGGGTTTGTTCAGATTGATGACTGTCTAATAAAGAAAGAGGGTCCTGGCTCCAGGAGCTGTGGAAACAAGGTCAACAAGTTTAGAACTGATGATTCTGCCATCGTGTCCTTCCGGTATATAAACTAGATTACAGCAAATTATCACCACCCGCCGGCCTAACCAGTTTAGTAATTAGATTACCGTATCAGCGATGGAGAGCTAGAGAGACTGAGAGCTCTTATCAGTTCAGCTACCGTGAAGAAGACCAAGAGTCCACAATTTAACAATCCCTTCAGTTCTCTCCCATAATCTGATTCATGGGTCACATCAGACCAACCTAATTCTCCCCAAGTTCCGAAATTTAATAAGAACCTACAAAGAGGCTTCTCAAACGAGGAATTGTTTCCATCAATTTCAGACCTCCGTGTTGCAAGGTCAGGTGCCCTCACGCGTTGGTGGGAAAATGAAAACTGTTAGGGGCCCAGTATGGTGAATGATAATCAGCAGTAAAATTTAATTTATCGGAAAGTCGGGAATTCTCAAATATATTAATCAAAAACAAATTGATTTTATTATGAAATTATGCGACGTTAAATCAGAACATTATCGATAATATAACAAAGTATTATATTCATCAATCGTCAGAGAGAAGAATATAATTTACCTTGCGCCACTAAGGCTCGACTCTTGAAGTTCAGATTCCCCCCACTCTCCGGTATGAAACTTCAAGTCACGAACTCTGGTGCGTCATTTGGGTGCGTCATTTAGGTGCGTCATTTGGGTGCGTCATTTGGGACTTGGGTGCGTCATTTGGGTGCGTCATTTGGGTTCCAAAAACACAAGACAGGTGATTATCATAGTGTTGTTGTATAACCATTTTGGCAGTTGCAGTTCCACATCAAAAGTTGTACGTGTCTGCTGAAATGATTTACTCAATTCGATAGATCTTTGCATTTTCGGCGTATAAAATCCTATTAAATTAAAATACCTTGATTATGTTTGGATATTATTTTGGCCGTTATATCATGCTTCTAACATTATTTCAAGCTAGTAAAGGTTAAGTGTTAATAACCTTGAGGAATTTTTGCAGTTTTGCAGCAAAAAAATCATGTTGGACAGTTCATGTGGGCCGTGGGGTTCAAACAAACAGGGTTTATAATTGTTACTCATTATTATTTAATATACAGTGACTTACCTATGTGATATATATGTCGAGTTTTTTTGTCAGGACTTGACGGGGCCATCACATCTTCTGACCACCCCACAGCGAAGTAAAGTCTCGCTCGCCAGCACAGCAGAGAGTTCGTATTTGGAGGAGTATATCATCTAATTGGCGGCTTATCAGGGAGAGACAAGATGAACTTAGTGAGCTTATCTTTGAAATTCTCGAGATCTTGAATGACATTAAGATGGTATGAGATTGCATTCCACAATTTAGGTCCTTGAACTTAAATTATAGGGTCATAGGGTGCCAGAATAAAATGCAAAAACAATCAACGGACATTAAATGCATGGCTCCATCGAAACTGTGCTAAAATTCACTCTTTGGCATGAATGGGCTTGTGACAAGGTTGAATCAGGTATGTGGGTGATTCTCGCGTAGATAAATTAATATCATCAATCATGTATCTAAGCATCTAAATCGTTAAAAATAGGATCTTCATTTTCTGGGCTATCAAAGTAAGTAATACCGTAGATCTGCATTCATAATTGCGTTGTAAAAAATTATTTATAATTGCCAAAACCATCAAATAAACATATTATTATATATACTAGCAGGAACCCGTATAATATAACCCTAAATGGTATCAAGACTCAAGAGACTAAAATAATTATTACCTAGGATTTAATTCGCGTTTTTGACACCACTTGGGGGTCCAAATTTTGGGCTCTAAAATCACTATTCCTTGGCCAATTTTTTATTTTTACATGCTGAATTGAAGGCCATTAAAGCATTTGATCCAGTCAAAAAAGTTTCAGTTGTATATCTTTTGCAGTTTTTGCGGAAAGTCGCGTTAAAAATGATGCCGTGGTGTCAGTAAAATGGCACGGATATATATATATATCGTCTCGCTTTATATATAGTAAGATAGAGGGGGGGGGGGGCAAAAGTCAGTACCCATACGTTGGCCTTAATAGCTCAGTCACTGAGTGCCCAATTGAAATAATTCTTTCTGGTATGACTTACTACCACCACTGGTTCGAGGAATTTGTCAAATCGAAATATATTCGTGTTAATTTTTTTCAAATGAAGGTTCATTTTCGCATTTACTAGCAGGAACCCGTATAACCCTAAAATGGTGTCAAGACTCGAGAGACTTAAATAATTATTGCCTATTTAATTCGCGTTTTTGACACCAAATTTTGGGCACTAAAATTCTTATTCCTTGGCCAATTTTTTAGGTTTTAATCCTGATTTGAAGGCCATTAAAACATTTGACCCAGTCAAAAAAGTTTCAATTGTATATCTTTTACGGTTTTTGCGGAACGTCGCGTTAAAGTTGATACCGTGGTGTCAGTAAAATGGCACGGATCCATATATATATCCATATATCGTCTCGCTTTATATATAGTAAGATTAGATAGTTTGGATAGTCAGATCGAGCAAAATTTTATAGAATGGTGTTTGGCCATTTAAATTACGTTTGTCCTGAAAAAGTGAGAGTTCTAGCTTCTCAGATGACCGAGATATGAAGCATTTAAACGAGTTTGTTCATTACGTGTGATCAGTTAATTGGGGGGAGGCTAGATCCGCATTACGAGAATCGTGCAGAGAGCCCATTTACAGTGTCGTAATTGGGTAATCATTGAGTACCCAATCTTACTTTTCAGATTATATTCCGGATTAAATGGCCAATTGCAATATTATGTTACAACGGAGTCTCTAACATGTTCACATAAACCAGTATAAGCAATTCAATGTTGATTGGGTGTGGCTCCCAAAAATCGAATTTTCAAATTTTGACGGAATCCTCGAACAAGTAGGTACAGTTCTTTACTTGGTAAAGCTATACCCACCCTGTATATATATATTATATGTTATATTATTATGTAGTAGTGTTGAAATTATGTAAGTTATATACACTATACAGGGTGGGCCAAAATTCAGTGGGCATACGTTTGCCTTAATAGCTCCGCTGTGTTTTATATTTGAGAGCTGTTGCTTTGCAGATGGCATACTGTACTTACTGGTTCGAGGATTTCGTCGTCAAAATTTGAAAATTCGAATATTTTAGACCACACCCATTCAATATTATTGTTTTCTCTGAACATGCTGAACGACTACAGACAGTGGCCTGTATATTTTAACTCCTATAATGCAGTTAAGATCCTGTCATGCTCATCTTGAATACAATTTGTTTATCTCGTTAGCTTCATTGGGTACTCAATGATTACCCAATTACGACACCGTAAATGGGCTCTCTGCACGATTCTCATAATGCGGATCTAGCCTCCCCCAATCACCTGATCACTTGTAATGAACAAACTCGTTATGCTTCATATATCTCTGTCATCTGAGAACCTAGAACTCTCATTTTTTCAGGACAAACGTAATTTAAATGGTCAAACACCATTCTATAAAATTTGGCACGATCCGACTATCCAAAACTATCAAATAAATGCGAAAATGAACCTTCATTTGAAAAAAATTAACACGAATATTTTTCGATTTGACTCGAACTAGTGGTGGTAGTAAGTCATACCAGAAAGAATTATTTCAATTGGGCACTCAGTGACTGAGCTATTAAGGCCAACGTATAGGTACTGACTTTTGCCCCCCCCCCCCTGTATAATAACAAATAATTTGAGGACATGAAGCTATCCTACCAATAGCTAAGGAAGTCTTCAAGGAGTTCAACCTGTTCATTAACACAGAGAAAACAGAATTTACCCATTTTTTCCTCGCTCCTGTTGGGGAAACAATCCCTGGTCGTGATGGTACCATGTTACGTGGAAATGAAGTTTGGCGGAAGAGTAAGATTCTTGGGTCATTGTTGTGTAGTGAATGTGATATAGCTGCTTGGTGCATTGCTGGGAACAATGCCTTCTATGAGTTAACCAAGATCTGGTCTCAGCAGAATATCTCCGTTACCAGTAAGATAGCAGTATACGAAGCCCAAATTGTATCAATCATCATGTATAATTGCAGTAGTTGGTGTCCTACTGCAAAGTCACTAGAAAAACTAGACATTTGCCATAGAAAACACCTTAGAACATTACTGAACATTTATAATTGGCCTCATGGAACAATATCCAATGCAAACTTATACCTAAGATGTAACTCAGTAAAGCTATCAGATCGTGTCCCTAAAGCAAGGTGGAAGCTCCTAGGTCATATCTTGCGTAGTGCTGATGACTCCGCCGCAGCATTAGCGTTGAAGTTTGATGTCACAACAAAATGTAAAGGGCGCGTCGGTGCGCATCGTAAGAAT